CCTGTCATGTCTGTCTGTCTTTCTGTTTTGGAGACTGGGTCTTGCACTGTCGCTCAGGCCGGAGTGCAGTGGTGCCATCTTGGCTGCAACCTCTGCCTCCTGGGTTCAAGCAATTCTCATGCCTCAGCCTCCAGAGTAGCAGAGACTACAGGCATGTGCCACATTGCCCAGCGAATTTTTGTATTTTTTTAGTAGAGAGGGGGTTTCACCATGTTGGCCATGCTGATTTGGAACTCCTGACTTCAAGTGTTCTGCCCGCCTCAGCCTCCCAAAGTGCTGAGATTACAGGCGTGAGCCACTGTGCCTGGCCCAGTTCTCTCAATTCCACCTTTCTCTGCTGTTCAAAACATAAGACATCTATGCTCTTGTATAGTCTTAGTCTATGCTGCTATATGCTGCCTTCCTGGTAACTCATCCTTAGTATACAGTCCTCTCTGGGAAACATTTTCATCATGCTCTGTAGACCTCCTGTTTTCCTATTTAAAACAAAACCACCAATCTTCATCTTCCTCACAGAATGTGTCAGTTGGCTTTTCTGGAAAGCGATGCTAAAATGGAACTAGGGGCGTAAGAGGCTTATTGGAAGGTAACACCCGTGAAAGATGAAAGGCACAGGAAGCAGGACTGGAAAGGAAAGGCTCAGACTACAATGCATATCTGACAAGTTCCCAGTCAACCCAATAGCAAGCTAGAGAACAAGGACTGATGATTAGAAGGGCTCTGCATTGGAAAGAATGGTCAGGCCCCATTATCTTGGCTGAGATTTGTCACTGGCTGGGGATATCTGGGAAAAGCATGGAGTAGGGCGACTGTGGTTTACAATAATCTATTGTTATATTTTAAAATAGCTAGAAGAAAATAATTTGAATGTTTCTAGCATAAAGAAAAGAAAATTTTTAAGATGATGGACATCCCAATAACACTGATTTGATCTTTACAAATTGTATGAATGTATTAAATTATCACATATATGCCCAAAATATGTACCTCTATTATGTATCAATAAAAAATAAAAAATTAAATAAAAAGGCTGAGGCAGGTCCTGCAGGTGCTAAAAGTTGGAGGCTGTCAGCTAAGTACATTCCTCGTGGCTGAATATCAAGGTCTTTCTTGAAGGGAGATCAGAGAGACACACTCCAAGGTCACCTCCTTGACACACTCCAAGATCAATTCCTCCACTGTCTCATCTCTCCAATCTTAAACTTCAGCACCCTCCTCTCCCACCCTAACATCGTATCTTTCCAACTTTTACTCCCTTACTCTCGTTATATTTGCTTTTCAATTGCAAAAGTTCCACTCCTTTATTCCCATGACCTTCTCTCCACATTTCAGCTTTGTCTTAACTGCTTTTTCCAGATAGACTACACCCAGTTTCCCATCACTTCATCTATTCTTTCACCAATATCCTTACATTCTTTGCCCCTTTTTCCCATTTGAGTGCCCACACTGCAAAACCCTATTTATCTATCTGCCTTCTTTCTTCCTACACTCAAACTGCTGGTTACAGCTAAAGAAAACCATACACCACTGCAGATTAATGTCACATGGTTTCCAGTCTTAGCTGAACCCTAAACACTATACAGAAATCCTATAGTTAGGTATTTCCTTCTCATATGGCATCTGAAAAAAAAACTTCCAGTTTTTATTTCACAGCATGTTGAAGAGCATGGTGGAAAAGGCATGGGCTTTGGAGTTACATGTATCAGATTTGAATTCTAGCTCTTTACTTCCGGTGTGACCTTCCCTAACTTCTCTTTGGTCTTTTTTCCCCACCTGTAAAATGGAGGTATTACTAACTCCTTAACATAAAATAGGTAACTGGTTTAGTGAGAAGTCTCAAATCACTGGAAGTATATGCTCAAATTTTTTTCTCTCCCAATAACACTGCCAACTGTACGCTGTTGAAAACCCCCTTTTCCACTGAGTACATCTCAATCCAATTCCCTAACATTTTGAACATTTTCAGCTTTCAACAGTCCTCTTCTCCACCAGGGCAGGTCAGATAGGAGGCTGTGTGTGGGTTTGTGTGTGAAGGCATGATCTGCTTTCTTGAATCCACACTTCCTTCTACTTACTGTCCAATGTCTGAAAAAGCACAAAGGCAGGCAAGGAAGACTTTGTATCCTTACGCACTGTCCAGGTTGCTGTCCCACTTCACTATAAATGATCTTGTTTCTTTTCCTCGGCTCAGGATGAGCAGGTGGTTACCATAAGTTCCATTGACAAAGATGTCAGTCCTAAGCAGTTCCTGAAAGCATTGATGGTCCTTTGGAAGACTTTATCTGTTGGCACAATTCTATCCCTCCCACACCCACTTCCTATCCCAAGGACTGCTTCAGTGGTTCATATCATACCTTCTTTCTTATTGGTTATTGCAACCCAACTCTGGAGTCAAAGGTACAGGTGAGATTCATTTTCTGTACCTCCCAGGAATCAGGGACTTAAGATGAGTCTCCTTGTCCTCTTGGCCTCACCATACCACCTAGCTACCTCTCCCTAATTTTCCTTCCTTTATTTTGGTAGCACTGGGCAGGAAATCACAGCCTAGAATGAAGGTTTCTATGAACCTGGCTCCCAAAAATTTGGTAAATATTTGTCAAGAGTGTACTATTTCACCATAATTCCTGGACTAATTAGTAACCCCAAAGGGCCAGGAAAAGATACCAGTCACTATTTTATTCTGATACATGTATATAAATTACCATATACAACTGACCTGGCCTATACCAATGAATGTTATTTTTTCTTGGTGAGCTATAACACAGTTACATTTCTAAATTGTATGTTTGTCTCTATTACCAATATAGGATGTACACACACACTGTTTTAACTATTTTACAAAGATTAACACGTTTAAACCCCACAGCAATCCTGTGAGGTAGTTATTATAATCCCCAATTTGCAGGTAAGGGAACTGAGGCACAGACAGGTTAAGTAACCTATTTGTTTTCCATTCACCTATTTGAATTCTACCTGCCAGGGATCCAATTAAGATATTCAAATCCATCTTCAAAAGAAAGAGTGTTTTTTTTGTTTTGTTTTGTTTTAAATGATACATGATTTTTGGGATTACAACAATCCATAAAAAATTGGATAACTTGTCACCTTTGTGATCTGGAAGAGGTTGTAAAGCATGGTCCTTGATACACACTTGATATATAAGAATTATCTAGTCCTTGGAATCATTTAGAATTCATTCATAAATCTTTTTCTATGTAGTAGCAATAGTTCTTTAGGAACTACTTCAATTGTTATTGGTTCGTTTACTTTTCCTACAGATTGTTTGGTTCTTTTGCTATTTTATATATTTTGTATTTTTGTAAATATAAAGTTTTCTTGAGCTTACCTCATATTATGCATGGGGTTTCCTTCTAATTTTATTTATTTTTTAGAGACAGGATTTTGCTCTGTCACCCAGGCTTGAGTGTGGTGGCACAATCATAGCTCACTACAGCCTCCAACTCCTGGGCTTAAGGGATTCTCCCGCCTTGGTCTCCCAAAGCACTGGATTACAGGCATGAGTGACTGCGCCTAGCTCTTCTAATTTTAAAATATCACTTTTATCCATTGTCATATCCCTCTTCAGTTCTGTAGTTGATGTTTGCACAATCTGACAAATTTGAATCAGAAAAACACATATAAGATAGCTCACATAAGATAGTAAGATAATCATAGTAAGATAATCAGTTCAAAGATTTACATACAAATTTAAGAATTATATATTTATTTATTTATTTATTTATTTATTTATTTATTTATTTATTTTTTTGAGACGGAGTCTCCCTCTGCCGTCCAGGCTGGAGTGCAGTGGCCGGATCTCAGCTCACTGCAAGCTCCGCCTCCCGGGTTTACGCCATTCTCCTGCCTCAGCCTCCCTAGTAGCTGGGACTACAGGCGCCCGCCACCTCGCCCGGCTAGTTTTTTGTATTTTTTAGTAGAGACGGGGTTTCACCGTGTTGACCAGGATGGTCTCGATCTCCTGACCTCGTGATCTGCCCGTCTCGGCCTCCCAAAATGCTGGGATTACAGGCTTGAGCCACCGCGCCCGGCCAGAGTCACTATTTTCATTACTTATATTATCTCTGCACAGTATAACAACTGCCAAGACTGAGGTTTATTGAGGTTCAACGACAAATGTCTTTGCTTGTAAAATTCTCCTTGTAGTCCTAACACACTGTCACAACAAAACAAAAATAGGCAGTTTACCACATGGGGTTTAGTAATGGTTAGGTAGTCCTTAGGTTCTCCAACTTGTGTTATGATAAATTTTAATCATTCTGAAAACATGGCTGTATCATCCCATGTACATATCATCCATGTATCATGGATGTGGGGGGAAGCATTAGTTAAGTATATACTCAGAATTCATATGATTAAAAGAAATAGATAGTTACTTTATCTACATAATATTCCCACTTAGTATTTCAATTAATTTTAATTGCATTAGCCCTCTATCTTCCCAAGTTTAATTACTAGGGACACAAAAATTTTATCTTTGATGCCAAGTGCCAAAAGAGCAACTTGTTTTTACTGTTTGCTTTTACTCTGCAATAGATATTGAAATATTTTAGATTCTTTCACCTTCGATTGTACTTTCTTTGTGTAGTAGCATGCCCTTTATATTGATAAAAAGATGTAGAAAACCTGAGTAAACGATTTTCCTTAAATACTGTTTAGAGTTAGCAAATTGGCAGTTTTGAAATAATAATTGTATTTTAAACTCGCAAAAGCCAAGATATTTCTGTAATATTTTATACACTTCTTAGAACTGCATCACAAATGAATTACAAAAATTCTGCTCCTGAGACTGTGGTAACTACAAAGCATGAAAAAAAAAATGTATACTTTACATAGTGCTATATAGCTTCTGCTAATTTTCTTTTTGGGACTTAAAAAATCTACCCCCTCAAGTGTTAGATAAAAAAGCTAATGCACATTTAAATCAGAAAAAGGAACCAATCACACTCGTCTTTCATGTTTCTGTATCTTTTTATCATCAGAAACAGCTGACCCTTGACCAACATTACATGATTTGGAGAAATAATTGGAAGTCTACCACAGGGAGACTAAATGTAAAACTCCAATCAGATAAATTACAACACGGATGTGGTAAGTTATAGAACACACACCCAAATGTGATTTAACTTCCAAGAATTTTAAGTAGTATTTCCCAATTAAAGTGTCTTTAAGGAAAAATGCAAATATGGGGCCTTTGTTAGCAAGATTCCAGAACAGGAAAAGCGGAACTCAAAGCCTCTCTGGTTAAGTGACCTGCGTTCTGGTTTACCTCTGAGTGATGGGCCTACTGCAGAGCCCGCCTCCCACCACAGTGCTGGCCCAGAATTTATTACACGAACTAGTTTGTAACTAAACGTTGGAAGTATCACCATATTGCCAGTGAGAAGTAAGATTTAAAAATAAAACGATGCTGTCCCTTTTCGCTCTTCCTTAGGACGTCTCCTTCTGCACTAAGGGTTCAGGTGAAGGGTGGAAACCGGCCAAGAAGAGGAAGAACGTGAACCAGTAGGGGGCAAAGAGGAAAGGACTCCCTTTACAGACTTTGGTGCCATTTTTACTTTCTGGTTGCTAATCTGAAACGTTGTGCGATTACAATGACGACCCCTCTCCCCCTAGGGTCCTAATTACCTCCGGGCCTTTTCCCGTGCACATCCCTGTGTTATATTCTGGTGCCTGTGTTGCCCCCACGCCCCCATTAGTAAAGGAAAACCACCTCTTTTCTGCCCCTAAAGTGATCTATAAACGAAGGAATACAGATGAGGATTTAAATCCCAATCCTAATTCCAAGAGAGGCTGGAAGCCCCCTCAGCCGCGCCCTGGCTTGGCCCCTTCATCTCGAGCTGTGGTGACGCCAGGGGCAGGTCTTCCACGTGTCTTTACAGAGGTGCCAGGAGGGAGGGCGTGAGGGATTACCCAAGGGAGGGGAGAGTATCGCAAAATAGGCCAAGTCGCTGCCCTGTACTCAACTCGCAGGGCGGGAGGATGGAGACGGAGGGATGCGGCGGGAGGGCGGGACAGCCCAGTCGCCGCCAAGGAGGAGAAGCGGAGTCGGGGGAGCCCACCGACCCGCCCGCCGCAGTCCCCGCCCTGCGCCGCGCAGCGCACGCCTGAAGTCATCGCCTGAGGCCCCGCCCCCTCGCGGCCCCAGCCCCGGCTCCGGCTCAGCCGGCGGTGGGGGCGGAGAGAACCCGCAGCTGCAACTTCGCCTGGAGCCTTTGAGCCTGGGCTCAGCCGGGAATCTAACAGCCGTCATCGCTGAGTCGCCGCTTCCCCGGCGCGGGCCTCAGCCCAGCCGGTTTGGCCATGGCAGCCGCTGCCACTGCGGCGAATCTGGCCCCTGCGCTCCCGGCCCGTAGCTGAACAGCCGTTAACCAGCCATCCCGCCTTTCCTCCTGCCCGTGCCGCCGAGGCCCAGGCTCCGCGCAAGTTTCCGCCACCGAAGAAGCAGGAGGACGGACGTGAGGAGTCGGGCGTCCCCGGCCCACCCGGCCCTCTCGCCCGCGATGTGGGGGCGCTTTCTGGCTCCGGAGGCCAGCGGCCGGGATAGCCCCGGCGGAGCCCGCAGCTTCCCTGCCGGTAAGGAACGGCACAGCGCCCCGGCTGGGGTGGGGGTCACGGCCGACCGCGGCGCCTCGGGACCTCGCCGCCGCTCCCCTCCCGCCTCAGGCCTGTCTTCCCCCAGCCGCCTCCCCGACGTCGCCGCGCGCCCAGTGTCCTCCCCGCTGCCAGCACCCGGGCTGACATCTGGCTTGCCGCGTCCCAGGCGCATCAGCTCCGCATCCCGTCGTCCCCGCCGCTCCTCCTTGGGCTGCAGTCCCAGCGCCCCCAACTTCCAGCTCGCTTGGGCCCCCGCGGGTTGGGCTTTATTGTCTGCCCGGCTTTTTCCTTTCACTCGTGGGGTGTGTGACCGGCGTGATAACGGGGCTTGCCCGTCGCTCGCTGGGACCCGGGCCGGAAGGTCGCTGCGACCGTGCTGCGGCGGCGGCTCGGGCGCGTCTCCCAGGGGCCGCAGTTCCGTGCCCTCCAGGCTTCTGGGAGGCGCGGGCTGGGGTTGGCTGTGCCCACGCCCGCAGCCGCTACTTTTAGGGCGCGTTTTGGGGAGGGAGAATGCTGCCAGAGATGCGACCGCTATCAGCCACCCCCGAGGGAACTTCAGCCCCTCGGAATCAGCCACCCCCGAGGGAACTTCAGCCGTTCGGAGGAACCTGGTCGCCGCCCCGCAGCCCCTCCGGCGTAAGGGGAGGGCGCGTCCTGCAGTAGCCAATGGACCATTGAGCAACCAGGTTGCGAATCCGTTTGGCTTTCCATGGTCCCTTCAAGGAAAATTAGGGGTTTGCTGCATTCCGTGTCTGATGGGGGCTGTTTGTATCGGACAGCCATTTCGTGCTTGCGTCGCTCAGAAGTTATGTAGGAGCCACAAAATTAGGATAAATCTTCCCCTAACTTGGGATAAAAAATAAGTCTTGGGTTGCCTGTGATATGTTCTCTAACGATGATGGTCCTTCCAGGCACTTTTAGTCTTAATTGAGTTTTGAGGCCTTTTGAGAAACTGAGTTATATGGACCTTCTATGCAGAAAAAACAATGCCATATATACGTACGCAAAATTTTCCCTACAGTTTTAGCTGGTTCTGGGACTCCTGTTAAGTAACCTTGCTCCACACAGTGTTTGAGCTCGACTTGTGTAACTTAGAGATATTTTTGCATACATTTCCAAAGAGGTTATTTACAAAACAAAAAAAGCAGAAGCAGCATTTGGAAAGGGGTCTTTTGATGGTAATATTTTCTGCTGTTTTTTAAAAAATCAGGCACTAACCGAGTCACTAATATCAGGCTATTGAAATTTCGAATAATGCAATTCTGTGATAGTTTAGATATTTGTGATGTGGTTTTTAAAAAGACATATATACATTTTAAAAAGCCAGAGTTAGATTTGAATCATTCACTTAAGTTTAGTCCTGAAACACTTTTAGAAATTTAATGTAGGCATGAATTTTATAAAAAGCAGTATTAAGGAGGGATTTTTTTTTCTAAATTGTATGCTATTTTCCTAAGGAGACAGTAGTTCAGAGGTTTCCCCAGTTTACAGATTATTCACAAATCCTGTCATCTAAGTAACTTAAGTGATTGAGAAGCTACTTCATTATCCCTAGGGGCTAGAGGGAGTGGTTTCAGTTTATCTGAAAATGTCAAAAGCCATCTGTAATGTCTTTAACCTATTAAAATTTATTCGTGATAATAGCAGCTTGTTTGGAGGTATATCACTGAGGCTTGGTGTCTATTTTTCATTGTTTTCTATGAAGAGAACATTTTAGTATGTAAAGTTGAGTAAGGAAGGACTTTGTTATGTTGCAGTCTCTAGAGAGACATTTGCTATGGCATAGAATAATAGTAGAAGAAGATACTTTGTAAATACTACCCAAATTGAAAAAATTTGGACAGTATAGCTGTACCAAAGCATGTATTTTATCTCAATTTGTCAGTAATAAACCCTTGGCAAATCAGGACATGGCTTTGAAATGTTTTTTTTTCAGCTATATGCTGAAATAGTGATGTATTTATTGTGTTTCTTCCCTTTTTGAGCAAACATAAATATTTAAAATTATCTTTGATAATTTTAAGTTTTAAAAAGTTTTACCTTAGATGAAAAACTTGTGTTGCTTCTTGTGCAAATGAACAGATGGTGAAGGCCAAGATAATGACCTCTGAGTTGATTCATGTAGGGATCTTTCTTCCTGAGAATTGGAAGGAAATTTTTATTTTTGAAATGTTGTTCAGTGTATCTTTTGAATAATTTGAGCAGTTAATTCCAGCCCTAAAATTGGACTTGTCTGAAAACAAAGTGTGAAGGCAGGGATAAGTAAATAATTTCTGGTATTAAAGTGAGTTTATCTTAATATGTGGATTAATTCAAGGTGTCCTGAAACTGGTTTGTTTGTTTATACAAATATGTAACTAGACTAAAGGAAAAGCCAAAGGTACTGTAGAACCACTTTCTAAAAATCAGAAGAAATTTTTTTTTTAAAGAAATGGCAGTACAAAATAGGAATAATAAGTGTAGTTTGAAAAATACTGAACTTTAGCCTTCACTTTAGGATTCAGTTTGATTTGGCTTTTCCCATTTTTCAGCTTTATGGAGTAACTGTTGTAAACCAAAAATAAAATGAGTATTTATTTGTTTATATTTTGAGACAGAGTTTCCCTCTGTTGCCCAGCCTGGAGTGCAGTGGTGCGGTCTCGGATCACTGCAACTTCTGCCTCCCGGTTCCAAGCGATTCTTGTGCCTCAGCCTCCCAAATAGCTGGGATTACAGGCATGTGCCACCACGCCCAGCTAATTTTTGTATTTTTAGTGGAGACAGGGTCTTACCATGTTGGCCATGCTGGTCTTGAACTCTTGGCCTCAAGTGATCCACTGGCCTCAGCCTTCCAAAGTGCTGGGATTACAGGCGTGAGTCACCCCGCCCAGCTAAAATGAGTGTTTTCGTAAGTTTCCTTACAAAGGTCAAATAAAAGCTTCTCTTTTTTATATTGGCAAGTGTGGTTAGAAAGATAATTTAAAATAGAACAATGGGTATGTTTTTCATGCATTTGGTTGATTGCATTTGAGATTACCCTATTGTTCAGAATGTATACTGGTTTCAAATTGGGTGAAGGATAACCATATTTCCCGTAAGCTTTTGAAATCTAGCATGATAGAGTGATACTTTGAGTACTTCCTAACACCTAATTGTGCTAAGCATGTTCCTTTTCATAAATAATTTTTTAAAAATGCTAACTCAAGCCAGGCACAGTGGCTCATGCCTATAATCCCAGGACTTTGGGAGGCCAAGGTGGGCGGATCACTTGAGGTCAGGAGTTCCAAACCAGCCTGACTGACACGGTGAAACCCAGTCTCTACTAAAAATACAAAAATTAACTGGGCGTGGTGGCGTGCACCTGTAATCCTAGCTACTCAGGAGGTTGAAGGCAGGAGAATCGCTTGAACCCGGGAGGCCGAGGTTGCAGTGAACTGAGATCATATCACTGCACTCCAGCCTGGGTAACAGAGTGAGTCTCTGTCTCAAAAAACAAAAACAAAATCATATATTCA